GAAGTTGATTTCTGGCTCGTCAAGTGTTAAACCAACTTTGAAGTAAGCAGCCATAATTCTCATTGCCATGTCGTCAATTCTCCATTCTGGAACGGTTCCGTTGATGACTGCTAATGTGAGATTGGTTCCCCAGAAACTTTCTCCACTCTTGAAGAGGGTATCACCAGGCATGGTCATATCCAATCCAGCTACAGCGGAAGCTGCTCCAGTGTGTTGAGCTTGCCAATCAGTCATGACGAAACCTTGGAATCCGAGCTCATCCTTTAGCAAGTTGTTGAGCATCTTGGAGTTTTGACAAGCATAGGAGTTGTTGACTTGATTGTAAGAACACATAATGGAACCAACACCAGCGCGAACTGCGTCTGCGAATGGCCAGAGGTATGTTTCGTGCATGGTTACATCGTCAATGTTGGATGAACTGGATTCGGTAATGTTAAAGCCGAAGCCTTGTGATTCACCAGACTGACGGAAATGTTCCTGAATGTTTGTAAGTTACCGAAGTAGGGATGGATTATGAGGGAACTAAAAGTATCCCGTTTGTTTATACTTGGAAAGTAATAAAGTACATACCTGTTCGTTACCGATGAAATGCTTAGCACAAGCAATGATACCGGCATCTTGAATACCTTTGATGGTTTCAGCGATTCCAATACCTGTCAAGACAGGATCTGGACTAAATCCTTCCCAGTTACGTCCACCTTGTGGAGCGCGGCCGAGAGGACCAGCAACTGGACCGAGTTGCACAGTGACACCCTTTGCTTTATGTTCTTGGCCTGTGGAAATGTTTAGTCAGAGATGTAGGAACCAGTCGGAATAAATTGACACTTACCCATAGCATAGCCTCGAGCATACATCAAACCACGATCAAAAGTAGCTGCAACAGACTGGCCACTCGAGAATACCGAGTTGAAATCGGTATCACGAACACCCACTGGAGAATCTTGCATACACATCGATCGGAGACCGAGACGAGGAACTGATCCTGCTTGACCAACACATTGTTCACCTTCCCATCTGAATGATCATTAGTTATAAATTCACTAGTGTCAAAGGCGACGAGGCTTACCCAACACCAGTCGTCAGATTAACCTTTTCCAACAGCGTGAGCTGGGAAACAAAATCCTTTGCCTTGACATAAGCTTCTTCCCAGCCGCCAGTGTTTGGGTTCATCCATGGTGAGGGATAAAAAGGGTCACTGGTTTGACCGAATACAGCACCAGAGTCCGTCGCAGCATCGACGGCACCGGGATATGTAGAATTCGACGACTTTGTACCAAGAGTTAGCAATTTTCTATCTCCTGTGATGATACCCGACAGAACAAGAACGAGATCTAATAAACTCTTCATGGTGAAGATTTGATGATGTGGTTGGAGATTATAAAATGATTGTAATCATGAAGAGCGGGAATCCAAAAGAACGAGTGATTTGGCATTCCTTGCATGGAGAGAAATATTGGTTTGTGGAAGAAAGGGTAGATAGATGGGTAAAGGGGACGGGAGTACAAACTTGACGGGATTGTTTGGTACCGCGATGCGAAGTACTTTCTTGTTGACTGGGAGAGGCTGCAGCCAGTAACCCAGCAACCACGAGTGAATATCTCATTTTGAGGAAAGTGCCACCACCAATTGAGTGGTGATTGGAGGAAATTAATGTAAATGAGGGAAAAGAAGGTACAATCTCAAATGACTTGAGAAGATTGACTGTACTGCTCTTAGGAGAAAACGGAAGATGGTGGGATAGCAAGATACTTTATATCCCAAGGGTAGCTAATAAGGCTGGGAGGTATGTGTGTGTATGGAGTCTACATGTCCCCATTGATTGATAATGCAAAAATGGGGTCTCATACGTACGGAGTGAGGGCGAGACCATACATACTAGGTACATATCGATAAGTCTGAATACTTATTAGTTAGTAGATCTCGCAACAGAATCATTGAGCTTCCCCAGTATATCGGCAAAGCAAAGTCTAAAAGGTTAGCTCCCTTGTCGAACTTATTAGCATAGTGGCTCGAGTGGTAGACTATCAGACGACGTACATGAAGTTTTACTCTCCGAATGAGATTAGCTGGATGAAAGAGGCGAAAGATCTTCATAGGAATAAAGTTCCTGAGCACCTCGACATTTCGAGTGACATGTTGGGGTCAATATGTACGAGCTGATTACCTAGCCAGTACCGAGTGTGTACGTGTGCACATTATATAAAATTCTATGTCGTAGTGGAATGCTTCGAGACCCAGGTTTCCTTAGACTGTCAATACCATTTGGACTCTCTCATAGTATCACATCTCGATTATTGGTGTTGTTGTTGTTGTTATTGTTGTTGTCATTGACATTGTTGTTTGTGCTATTGAAAACCCCAGCGGAGAATCATACGGAAACAAACAAATAAACGTCATTTCCAAGCTGACATGCATCAACGATGATGATGATGATGATGATGATAAGATGACAGGCAGCATGGATGAAGGATGATTAGAGATTCATGGGCCAAGAGAAGACTGAACTTCCAAGAGCTTAGCTTACCCGGCAATTTCTATCCGCCTATACCTAGATAAACGGTGAACTTTCAGATATTGATCGCTGGGATGTCTTTATCCTCAAGGCTCAATCACATTATGTGTCTCTCGCACACTCTCGTTCCCTCTCGAAAAGTCTCTTTTCCCTATCCATGCGTCTCATAGCCCAAGTCCTATTCAATTTGATCAATCACACACACTCCATTAGTCTGTAAAATCATAAATCATAAATCATAAATCACACTCTATCAAAATCACATTCAATCTTCCCCATCTTCTTCCCCATCTTCATCTTCATCAATCAATTCCATTCTTAATCCTGCAGCTGTATGTACCTCCCTCGCCATGCATGTTGACCTCCGCAAACCCCACAAACTTCAAAAGAAAATGTGTATGGTGGACCCACACATCCAGAGACCCAAAGTCGGATGTTCCTCGGAAGGTGGGGGAAAAGGCGGGGAATGGATTAGACACAACACACAGTGACAGTGACACACTCTCTTGGTATCGTAAGTGGATTTATTATTATTTTGCCTGTCAAGTGATGATCGAATCATGAATACTCCACTTCTAAATGCACATTGACTTTGCATTTTTTTTTTTTTTTTAAAAAATGTCTTTTCCTACTAATCTTAGGAGAAAGACTTTGGAGGAGAAAGCCTTGGCCTGCACGAGGGGTGACTCCGTCGTATACTGGATAGTAACTGTTAAATGTGGTTTGAATGAATGAATAAATAATACAGAAGATGCGATGATGTGCCATACAAGGAAGATCGTTGGGTGCGTCTGTTGAGTGGAAAGACAGAGTGAGCGAGATGATGAGAATTTCTAATCATCATCACCATCATCACCATCATCATCACCATCATCATAACATCACAATTTCCAACCGACTCCCAGTCAGATCAACAGGGGCACTTAAAGAAGTTCTAGAATCTTGCGGTTGATTATCGGTTCACCCCCATTTTCATCATTCAAAACCCTCCGCAAGACAAACAACTCACTCGCAAAGCTCGACGAATCTACTACCGAGTATACATTCCATCCAAGAAGGGCACTTCCGTTGGGCATATCTCACATGCCCACTCAGAGTCTAGAAACGATATTTCCGCCCCGCCTTCCTGTCATTTTCTTTCTCGTTCTTCGCCATCCCATCTCGAGCCAAGCTTTCCAAGCTTTCCAAGCTTTCCCCGAACCTGTCCAGCCACAAAATCATGGATCGAGCCGTGTGTCAAACACTAATCACACTAGAAAGTCCTGACGCAGTATAGGTTTGGAAGCCTCGCAATCATCTACACCGATATCCGACCCCGCCGTTCATAATTCCTTGGGACTTTACGCTACTTCCTATCCTTACCAGCTTTTCAAATTATACCACTATATATCTCATCGGACCGATTACTTTGAAAAACTTTCTCCCCTTCTCCTCTTCTCCATCATTTTTTCCCCATGGGCCATGGCAAGCATCGGAGTTCTCGAATAAGAAGGCTTCCCGAACAACCAACTGTAGTATTCTTTACCAATAAACTGGAAACCTCCAGATTTTCTCCCCCGCTCCCCGTGGGAACATGGCTAATCTTCGGAATTGGTGCACACATACAATGGGGCCCGACTCTTATTGCAACTGTATCTGCATCCAAATTGATACATGGCAACCCAGTATTCGATTGTGACCTGCATCTTCCGATTTTGCGGACCAACGCAATCAAGCGACTCGGCTATGTAGCTTGGAAGAAGATACACCCGGTTATCCCGATGATGGCTACGATGGGTCTCTAGAGAGGACTTACTGTTGGGCGGCGGTAACCATTTTCATCATGAAGGTTGTGAACATTAGAAATCCTATTATTCAATCCGGGATACTCGGATCTTAGAGCACACTTAGTGGTATGTTGTACTTGGATCATGACTGAAAATTGATACTCGAGCTTTGCAGGCCGTCTTCTACTTCGCCATCTTATTCTTCTCCCATCACTTGACTAGGTCAGGGTATGCAATCATCGGAAATACGGTGCCAGTCAAAATTTCAAACGAGCCTCGGGAAATGTATTGATCATGATTTCTAAAATTCTAAACTCCAATCCAACTGGCAGCTACTTTCAATGGAAAGCGTCACAGGCATCCGGGTAGAGTTCAATACTTATTTCAAGGGCTTACAGTGAAATCTGCGAGAAGTAAGTACATTATCATAGAGCTAAAAGTCTACCAATGTTTCGCTGACATTCAATGCATTATAAATGTATCCATTTCGCTTGCTTTATACTCCTAAAGTATTCTCATCTCCCTTGCTCAATTCTTCTCTATATCACCCTCTGTCTCATCCATCAGGTTTTTATACCTTTTTAAGTCTTCCTCCGTTTCAAAGACATATCTTCCAGCTTGTCGTACAATGTCTTTGTCGCTCCTAGTCCTTCGGTCATAATACACGGAGTTGGTTTTGGCTCCAACTTATGACCAAACGACGAAGTTTCAACCCATGACGGTTACTCCGGACTTGTTCTATTGGTGCGTGACTTGGCTTTGCCCCATCTATGCCTTGTTCTTACCGATTCTACATCACCATGGTGTAGAATTGATCGAGGAACTCGCCATGGAAAATGTGCCGGTCTTGGGATTGCTATAGGCGCCGATCTCGGAGTGTATTCAAATCCATCCCTTGAAGAGGCCGAGTTCGAGACTATTTCATATTCGCCCGTTTCCGAGGCAAATTGAGCGGCTTCAGAGCCACCGCTTCCTTGTGGTATTCTCCAATCTGGTAATGAAGATTGGTCTTGGTGCTCCTTCTTCATTTGCCCTAGAAGTACCTGATCATTCACTTGTTCAATCATTGTCCTATTAAGATTGGCTTCATCGGGCGATGAGGTAAGTATTAATATCCCATTGACCACACTACTCCGGCGTCGATCTGCTTTTACTGCCACTCCATCATGAGTCACCTGACACTGTTCCGTGCGATCACTATTCGCTCGATTTGGAGAGTTTTGATCCAGCGGTTCTTGATTCTCTGCTGATCCTTCCTCTACCATGGTATCAATCGACATCGACTGGCATTCTAATGCTTCTTCTAATTCCCTTCTTCTTCGTAAATCCTTCTGTACCTTCTTTTTCATCTTCGCTTCAGGTATATCTTTCTTCTTCACATACGCTCTTATTATTCCTGTGTCTTCATCATCTCCATCATATCCGTCGGAATCATCATATTTCGGCACATTATTCTCATAGAACGATAGCGCAAGGGAATACACGGGGCTGGGAGGTTGCGAATCATCCGCTTCGCTTGATGAGTACGTCGACATGACTTTTTCAATTTCGCTGGTGTTGATGGATTCTTTTTCAACAAAAGATGTACGAGTTATGAGGACTAGCAGAAAGGTAATAGATTGATAGTAGATCCGTAATTATATCTTTTGTAACAAGGGGTAAGTATGGATTGAATGTTTGATGTTGGAAAAGGAATCTGGGGAGTATGGATATTTTTCGTACTTATACATCAATGTTCCGCTTAGGGAAAGAATGATTGATATTTTTATTGATTCTATTGCAGAATACAGGTTCAGTAAGCACGATTCGATCGATGCTATTGACTGTTTATATAGTGGTAGGTATGTTTAGTCTTGGTTTATTTTTTTATTTTTTCTCAATACTAATATACGCTCACGTTTTCCCTTTTTCTTGCCCTTCCCTTCTCTTCCCTTTCTACTTTCTATACTCATCTTCCCCTCTTCCTCTTTGTCCTCGCTTCTACCATATACAGTAAAACATATCCCTATGTAGCTTTACAGGTGTTTTCTGCTGACACCACACAAGCCTCTTCCAAGTCCAGGGGGGAGCTTACATCAATTTTCTAGACTTTTTTCTTTTTTTCTTTTTCTTTTTGGAGGTTGCGAATCGAGCAAAAATTGATTCAAAGAGTGTCAAGATTTTTTCAAGTAGAAAATGAAGCGTATAACTTTCTCTGCTCTCAAACCCTCACAATTCCTTTTCAATATGTAGATCTCTTTTCATACTTTGGAAGAGGTAAAACTCTTGAGCTCTAAGTCTGAGTTTGAGATGAGAAATCGTGAGATTTTTTGATTTTGGGGAAAATGAGTGAGTGGATGGATGTGATGAATGAATAGATTGATAGAATGATAGATGAATGCGAAGTGAGTAGAAATTTGCATATGAGTAAAGCACACCTATATATTAATAGTATTATACATTTATTTATTTATCCATCCATCCATCCATCTACTTTCCACCTATATCAAAATCCAGAACTCCCTTTTGGGGGGGTTTCAATTGTAATGAAATGTAGTGCAAGTACTCCTTTCAATTTCTAATCTCCAATTTCCATCTCCAATCTCTCACTCCGACTCTACTTTTCGATTCAAAGTTCAACTCTACTTTTATCTCCATCTCCAACTCCAACTTTACAAAAGAGAATAAAAATAGAATATATAAACCCTCTGAAACTCAAATAACTCTCCGGTTTGATTGTGATTAAGAATAATCTCAACCTCGATCTCGATCTTAAAGTATAATCTTCCTCTCACCATGCTCAACATAATATGTTTCTTGTGAAGTTGTGGAGTTGTGATTTGTTTATCTATTAATAGGCTCGAAAACTCGTACTGGTATTGTAGATATCATGTTTAGATACTTCACCTTGGTAGAGTGATTGATTTTTTTGATTTTTTTTGTTGGGTAGGGAGGAGTGATTATGCTGTGCTGCGTTTTATGTTTATTTTGTTGTATCGTATTTTGTTCCTTCACTTCCTTTCATCCTTCATCCTTTCTTTCGTTTCTTTCCTCTTTCCCTCCTTCTCTCTTTCCTCTTTCTCTCTTTCCTCTTTCCCTCCCTCTCCCTCTCCGCCCCCCTCTCCATCTAACCCTCTACGCATGAATCAGGAAGAGAACGGAAAGGAATATGTTGGTATCACCATGGGGATGGTGAAGTCAATATAGTACTATGGTTCACACTGTTGTTATATTGCTTGAGGTTCTAAAAGCTAGGGCTACGAAACGTATTACTATAGTGTCGGAAGACGGTAGCGTTAACGCTAGCGTAGTCACGTGATCCATATCCCAACAGAATAGAAGTACGAGACTTCCACAAATCAATACCCCTCCTATAGATCATCAAAATTAAACTTAAGAGAGATTATAGAGATACTCGTTTATATTCGTCTTCATCTCCACCGTCCCCTTTATAATCACGCGATCGACTCTGGAGAATGCGATTAAACTCAAGGGTAGGTATGCGTTTATGATTTGTAGCTATATATGATGTGGGTTTCTCTATATGGATACTTGATACTTAGGTTAGGGGGAAGTGTGGGATAGGAGTGGGACGGAAATGGGATGATTGAGGTAGATGGGGAGAGAGAGAGTGTGTGTGTGTGTGAGATAGATAGGTAAGATTTACGTTTTACATAAACTAAGAATCTCGTATAGGTTTTATTGAAGAGAGAGGTGATTTTTGAAGGATCATGACGGTGAAGGGTTTTCTCTTGGAGAGAAGAGGAATTCGAAGGCTTTAGTAGATTATGAAGTATAAAATACAAAAAAATAAAGTACATCACACATACAATCGAAAACAATAAATCTCACCAAAAAATAATTCCTATAAAGAGAGTGGTAGAAAGGTAGGTAGGTAGCTATTGCATAATCTCATCTCATCTCATTCCCCTACTAGTAATCAAGAGATGCGTCGATTATCCGATGGAGTATACTAACTACGGTATAATAATAGTTTGATAGGTATTTGGAAAAGAATTCAGGAGCTATATCTACCAACTGGGTATAAGAGATAGAAGGGATGAGATGAGATGAGGAACATTCAGTGAGAGCTCTGCTTGTGTTCTTTGGGCTTTGAGAGGGGGGGGGGAGAGGAGGTTAAATTGATGAATAGCAGAGAGTTTAGCTAGCTGGTTGTTGAGAGGAGCTAGATATGTATTATTTGAAGAATAATAAATACTAGAAATAGTACTATTTTATGTATTGATATTTCAAATATTAAAACTAATATTTCTTTTTTTTTAAATTAGTACTTTTAACATTTTTGTTTTAAATGTATTTTCAGAAAATGATATTTTTATTTTAAATTCTTTTTCATTATTTTAATCCTGAAGTTAAAATTTCTAAAACTCGAGATTTATTTTTAATTTAATTTAATTTCAAAAAGAAATATTTCTCTATTAAACAAATGAATAAATTTTTATTATTAAAACATATTTCAGATCATATTTTAAACTTTAATTTTTGATTGAATAATAATATATTATAAAATATAGAATTATAAGATAAAACTAGATTTTTCATTTTTAGATTAAAATATTATTCTTTTATTTTGAAATCAGAATAGTATTTCCTTTATTTTTAAGATTAAAATAATATTTATTAAGAAATCGAAATTTAGAATAAAAATGTTATTTTTTTTTGAAAAGTATATAAGACAAAAATATCAAAATTGTTAGTTTAAAGAAAAAGAAATGACATTTATGACATTTTAGGTATTGATGTATAAAAAAGTGTTATTTCTAATATCTACCGTTTAAAGAAAGCAATCGAGATGATAATAAATATGAAATCTTAAGTGATCAATTATTCACCTATATTAAGATACTACATTTACACTCTACACCATTACAAATAGGGAAATCCCATGATCAAAATACTCCATTCAAGCTTTTCCTTAACACAGAGTCCAGATGATAGGCATACGAACACGGGGAATGATATATACGTCTATTCAGCTACCTGACTGCGTCTTTTTGATATAACTTTTAGCTTTTTTCATCCTTTATTTTTCTCATGTCAATAGGATATACATATGATCCCCCCCCCAAAAAGGGAAATTCTCTTCTTGAATGCCTACGTACAACTATCTACCCCGGTCCCCGAGTCAGACTCACAGTCAGGAGAACATCACTTCCTTAACCTCGCTATCATCATATGGATATCTACCCAACGATCACAGAACCCATAAGGGCGTTCAAATTGTTTCTATACCAATCTCAGCACTCCCCAATACTGATACTACAACTTATTAGTCATTCACAAGACGAATTACACCAAGACAGAATCTGCAACTTTTCTAACGGGCGAGTCCGTAAAAGCTAAACAAGCAATTAAAGTTATTCGGAAATTTAAATTGAGGAGATTCTAACAGTGGATTTGTGTATATGATGCAAACGGTAGATTTATCTATTAGATGAAACTTGAAAGTGGGAAAATTGACGGTGAGAATGAGTTGGTGTAGTGTGAGATCCTCATTAAAATGGACACTTCTTGGAGATAGGACTATAATTCTTGGAAATAACAATGATAGATACATGGCGGCAAGTATGTTTGAAAAGGAGATTCGAAATGGAAATGAAGAATCGAGTTTTCGTTATTTATCAATATGACTGTTCGATAAAGACACATCACTGATGAATCACAGAGAGGGAAGCCTTGTATCTTTAACAAATTTCGATACTGTGAACGATCTTTACATCTAAACCCGCATCAGAAGGATGCAGTGGGAAGGGAATGGAGTTTTTGTAATGACTGCTCTCCAAATTTCATACTGGAAATTTGATTCTACTCTGATTCAGGAACGAGTTGCTTCTGGGAATAACGTTCACTAGGAGTATAGAGACATAGTTGATGCAGTGAGATTTGTTTTCGTTATAGAATTTTAAATAACTAGAAAATTTCTCCGTGGACTGGAAAAGATTGGAACCGTGTACTCGGGGATAGCTTCGAATGACTTACGGGATATGATGACATGGAATGAGGAAGATGGACTAGTGTTAGGCTTAGATAAATAAGAATAATGTCAACAGTAACAGTTATGACAAGCCGACGGTAAAATGAATGGTTGTGATGGAATGATCTTCTAACACCAAGTATCGGCTGATATCGGGAGACCTTCAATTTATTCCAGAATTGTCTCATCTAGATAGATTTGTAGAAGCTATATGCCCAGGTGGTCAACGGTACGAGAGTTTTGGGGGAGGCGATAGATAGTAGGGAAGCTTGATCTTTAAATATTGTCAGGGAGCTGTACACGAGATTTGGATGGGATGGAGATACGGATGAGATGGTATCACTTTGACCATATATAAAACTTATCGTCGAGACCGATGAACATTGAGCCAATAGATTGAATCATCAAAGCAACTTCGGTATAGGTTTCGATTGTGATAAAAGAAGTGTTTTCATGTAACTCTAACCTTAGGGCGGTTCTCGCAATCTTCGATAAATAGACTGCACACTTGGGCTGAAGAAGTTAAGACCATATCATGAAAAGATGGTGAATGCAATATTGGAAGGTTGAATGTACCACTAAAGATGAGATATGTAGACCAGAGGCGTGTACCAAAATGTCAGCGACGATGAACCGGTAAAACAGTCATGTCAATTGCGACAGGCAGTGTCCAAACCAGCTGCGCAGATTGGTGATGTAACACACTATATCTAACGCTTATCGCGCAGACTCAACTAAGGGTCTGACTTTTGACAAGACCTAGTCCTCCCGATATTTTGACAAGGGAATGTTGATCCCAAGCGCTGCATCGTATACTTCGGGTTTTCATCTATCTCGACTTGAGATGATGGAACCTAAGTACAAATATTCATAAAAATACCTCCTCTTTCTCGGCCCACCAAACGTGCATATCTCCAACCAAGAGATCCGAAAGGCCACTCTTCAATCATGGCATAATTGACATAAAATTCCGACGTGCAACAAAAGCACTTCAACACTCCCACTCGAGTCTAGATACCTTCAAAGCTAACGTATATTTCCTCATTCGGTATCTTTTACATATTCTCAAGACCTGGGTGATCCTACCCATCACATGCATGACCCAAAGTGGTAAGAAGGCTCAGTGAGTAATTGCATTTGTGACCCAACTAACGTGATTTATATGCGGGAGCGATCAGATTGTTGGAGCTAATAAGGGTGGAATGATGGAGGAACTGTTCGAATGGTGGCCTGTGCCTTCCCGAAAGGCATCGTCCGATGCGTGGGAGGAAGGTGTCAGCCATGTTATGAGCTTTGCATGTAACTGATCATATCTCACGTGAAGGATAAAGACGAGATGCAAGGAGATCAAAGATCGGATAATAACGAAGGCAGGATTGATAGACAACGACGCAATTGGTTTGGTAAAAGTGCCTGAGTATTGGACTGTCAATGTGTGTCTGCACCCCCCCTCCTTCATTTTTGATGAGATAGAGGATTGTGTTTAATCCTTTGATGCAAACATTCAATAGCTTTTTGTTACACAGTATGTAATTTCTGTTGTAAAACGAGAACTGTGGAGCATATAGGTGCTTATGCATGGGGATAAGGTCGAAGAAGTTGTGCTTCCGAGCAATGTCTTGCCGCCGAGATATCACACGCAAACAAATGGATCTCGCATCAAAGCAACATCATTTCTGGGAAAGAAGCTTTTCCACCAGATACCCACTGTCCCCATCGGCAACTGAAAATAAGCAATTTGTGCAGATGAAGTTGCTGTCGAGTCAAGCCAAACTCCACACTGACACTGACACTGCATCTGCATATTCATCTGGAGCTTCGCAATAGCCGCTTAAAACTAGCTGATGACCGGCAAATACTTGCATGATTAGAACCTGTATAATCTCACGAGACTCCACAACCGGCTGCTTTTATGATGGAAGTGATAGAGTGGTGTGAACACCACGTCAAGGACGAAGTAAATCGTACATCAAATGTCATAGAGTACATTTCTTTCAACTTTCAAAGATCTATATCTGAGAAATTATTTATTGTTGAGAATGAACTGAGATCTTGGTGTTCATTTTGTATATGCATGAAGGCGTCGATTATTGATTGATGGAATCTGAGATGATAAGTAGAGTTTGTTCGGTTTGTGATGTGAAAAGTTCACGCAGTTGAAATCGTTCTGACAATTATTTGATATTGAGATGTGCACTTATCGGCGCTCAGCCACAGTCACATGATTGAGCTAGCCACTTTCATATCAAATTCACTAGAAGTATACCCAGTATGCTATATTGCCATCAACCTAACCTACGCACGACTTGGGAAGAAACTTCGCTGAATAACGTTCATGTGCATTGTACTTGGAGACAGTGGATCGATGATATCCATCACCGAACCGAGGATCAGACACCTAACAAACTCAATAGACTCCGATGGAATGAACTTCCTTCATATGTGCATATACAAGTGTGTTCACTTTGCCCAGTTCCCAGTCTGCCAGTCTGGGACTTATCGAATGTTCTATATCGAAGATGGAATTTTTAGGTAAATTGAGATGTGCATCTGTCAGGTATACCACTGTCGATGTGTTAAAAGCCTTTCTATCACTACCCTCTATAGTTCATATCCTCAAATTCCACAAATTATCTCCAGCGACCTCAATTCGCCGTGCGGCCTTCCTCTAGAGTCAGGCATATAATCTCGTCAAGTACACAGTGTTCCGAGTCGGTTTTCAGTCCCCTATATGGGAATGTAACTTTCTTTGATTTCTAACGAAAGGCAGGAATTGCCCAAACACACCTCCTCCAACTTGTATCTAGTTGAAGCATGCAATCCCACCGTCTATGTTCATCTCGAGCAAATAATTTACGGAGGTGTATGCAAGATCATAACCATAAGCGCGGATGGGGGCCGAATAATGAAAGAGTGAGTGAATTGGCTTCTTCTTGTTCCAGTCGAAGGAATAGATCTGTCTTCGTATAGCATGTCAAGATTCATCAAAGCCTTTGGTATGAGTAAGTAGCTCGAAGACAAGTGTACTCTTTCAAGACTATCCATACTCATAGAAGCACGGATATCTTACTTTTGAATCTTTGTGTTTAGTAGACGTAGAAGCAAAGTCAAAATTTTCCTCATAAAGAGTGTTTTGACCGTTGACTTCGAGAATTATACATAAGATAAAGATTGCCTCACTATGAAGGAAGAAGAGAACATGGGTGTCAAAACAAACAAACAGGAAAGAGTCTCCAGGACACTCGAATGATGCCGAAGTGTCCGATTTATGAGCCTACCAGCCCTATGATCTCTTTGAGATGCTAGAGGATTTATATGAATAGTCTTGTCGAAGATTTATGGTAAACAACGAATCGTTTACGAACGCCTCTTTCGAGACCAATATGTCAACTCACGAGGGATCTCCCAAAAAGGCGAAAGGCTTTAAAAGTCTGACCGTAGAAGCAAAAGCCAGACTCATCAGGTGGCTCGTACAGACGGAGCCCTGTGTCATCCCCTTTATGAATATTGTGAAATACGCACGAGAAGACGAGACGATCAAGAAGTGGAGACCTGTAAAAGGGAAGCCAGGACACAGGTCCGGCAAGTGGGTAATTCGGCTGTACAAAAAAGTCTGGGCAGATGGGGTTGAAAACGGGACAGTGGTCGACAAAGAATTTCGTCGAATGATTGAGGGCTGCGCTGCAATGGGGAGGGGCAAAAACATCAAGGAATGCGTGGAGAAGTTGCGATCCACAACAGATCATTTTGATCTTGAGGTGAAGAAGATATTTAAAGCCATACAAGATGAGGAAAAGAAAGCCGAGAAACAACTCGAGGAAATTAATGAGGATGATTAGATAGAAGAGGAGATAGAAGGGGGAAGTGAGAAGAGAAGCGAGGAGGAAACAGGAAGAATCAACAGCGGAAGTGATCATTCCTACGAGGACGGAAGTCTCGCAACCGATGAGAGTGAAAAAATGGATAGCAACAATGGAAGCGAACAAGTAGAGACTAGCGAGGAGCAGGTTGGCGACGAAGATGCAAACAACGCAGAAGCCGACGATCAAAACCAAGCCAACACCCCACAAATCTCCAAACCCGAGAAACGCGGACGTCGATCACATGGCGAATCGAGTAGATCTAGTAGTGGAGGAACAGCGCAAGTTGAACACTCTGGTATGGGTGAGGTGGCATTGAAGAATATGTTGAAGAATCGCACGAAGAGTCAGAAGAAGAAACAGAAAACAGGGGATGGGCAAGACGGTGAGTTGGATGGTGAGTTGGACGACGAGCAAGAGGCCGGGGAAATCTCTTGGCTTTAAAGATTGTAATGAGGTAGACCATAGTGATAGCACATTATCAAAGGGTTTTAGATATTGGTCTTCAAGGATTGGTTTACTTGTGCAGTATTGTATTCTTACGCCATTCAATACCGGCGAATACGTGGAGTTCAGATATGAAGATGCCACATCAAGGAGCAGGATTCGAAAAATGCTTGCGATAGTTCTAGTGTGCGTGTGATGTGAGCGATCTATGCGCATATGATATAAAACATCTATTAGAAGAGGATACGAAGGTGTCAGTTGCTGCTGGAGATTCATATACGATTGTTGATTTGATGCTACTACCCAACGTAGGATTGCAATCCAAGAGATCCATACATAAGGGCTCCTATACCAATATGTGTCTCAGTACCGTATATTTCAACACTAGCATACCTCGAAACGAAACGCGAAACAGACATGAAGATATATAACTAGATCCTTCCGCAGTATCTTTATCACCGTGGTATATTGCGGCGCAGAAAGGTCCATTGCCCACGACAACACGAAGAACTTTCTTCCACACCGAACATAATCGTCAACTTCAATCCTTCTTTTGCTCTTCAACACTTCCCTCTACATGATATGTAATCAACAAAGGATTTTTGAATCGCACGGTGCACATTGACTCATTCCTTCCATCTACAGTGCACACGAACCGCTCCTCCACATTCATCCCTTCCATTATTGCAAAGAAAGATGGATGGAATCAAGCATGATAAGAAATCAGATCTCAGATCCTACGTTTCGCGATATGCAACAAGAACCTCTTGCTTCATTATTCAACCATTTATCTCATCTCATCAGTTATTAAGTAAGCATTCCCAAATGCTACGAGATGGGGCGCAAAGTGTGATCCTAGCACGAATCCAAGCGAAATCCTTCTCGTGTTGAATGGATGTTTCGGGTAAGACCAAGACATTCGCATACAAATGTACAAAGGGAAAGAGTACCAATATACTGTAGCTTTGCGGCAAGGCACGAAGGGAAAACAACTGCCGAAATTTGGTACAGTAAAGCTGCGAACTCATGTATGCAATCTCTTTGAAGCCACAAATCAATCCATGTGGGATGTGATTTGAGATGCTGATGTACAGAATGTCTGAGAGCTTTGCAAGTACACTGCTTTGACTTACACATCTCATAGGGCAATTTTAAAAAGACCTTACTGTAAATACTAGTAAAGTGTGGTAGCGAAGTCACCTTTTTGCAAAATGCGGAAAGCCAATGAGCCACACTAGGTAGCTATCCTTCCTTTGTTTCGATCTTAAGGCGTGCGCAGATATACTCCCACTGACACTGACAATGGCACTACACACTGACATAAACAATCATGATAGATACCTAGTTTACAAAAAGGGGATGCGGAAGGACTTGCTGATAGCTACTTGCTAATAGTTAGTTGCTATAGAATAATCTGATACACTCTAGAAAAAAATGGTCAAAGGGAACTTCCTTTAAAATCCACCCGTAGACACCGGCGTTTCAAGCTCTAAAGTATGTTCTCTGAGGACCCAACATCGTAAGCAAGACGTTGCAGGATTGAAGTAGCTTCATTGAGTAGAGAAGGTAAAGCAAGAGAAAAAGTGTAATTCCGCACAGATGGTCTGTCAGATCAGCGTTACCTCAAGGCTCATGCTAGCTAGTCAAAAGAATGGAGCTATTCTGGGTATCTCAGTAGTCTCCGATGTCAGTGTTTCAGTAGCATTTGGGCAGAGACACCAGTCGGCATGTGTTGTGGTCTGTGGCAATTCTATGTTTCCTTCGAATCTGAAGATATAGATCCAGAAGTAAATCATTGGAGTACAATAGTCATGAATTAGACGCCGACATCGAGTTACCAGTCCAGCGAACACAGCTGAAGAAGATTTGCGGATAATTATAGAAGGAAGGTCGCTTTGGTGGTCTGCAGAAGCGCTACCGTAGTCACGAGGGCACAACATTGGTATCTGATAGCCGGGGTAAAATGACGGCGAAGACCGACCGGCAGTAAGAGTGGCTTCAATACCGATCTTGGTATTAATAAACCTGAATGGCGTTAACGCTTTTACACATCGATCCGTGAAAGATTCAATTAGTTGGGTATCTTGGGATTGGTGCTCGGTGAATCTAGATCTAAACAAATGGAGGGATGTAGATGCACTCCGTGTACATAGAAGCGGCAACGCGACGGATGGGCGATCAATTTCCATAGAATGGAAAGAAAAGATGAGACAGCCGTGCCTTTCTCTCCAATGAGGGCTCTGAAGAGCTCAAGCTTCCATGTTTCATGCATACCTGCATTAATTTAACCCTGCCTAGACCAATATTTATTCATGATGCATTTTTGGGGTGAAAGAGCTAGCCAATTAGTGATGTATCAGATTCTTCAAGAGTTGATGGAGAAGATTGTGAACCAATCGTTTAAAGATCACATTCTTTGGAAAATGCAGTCAGTCATCTTTTTAATTTATGATTGCGGGCAGGTCCCATTCAGCAAGCGCTCGGTATTGACTGTTCTGCAGCAAATGAATGCACCATACGATGTAAGATTGCATATGCGATAGACTACATACCGAAATATCGAATAGCTGGAGCGACCTGATAGTCAAATGTAGAAACGTCAAAGCCTGAGAGATTAGTTGATTATCGTCGCGTTTCGATTGAACCTTTCTTGAGATTGTTCAGCTAGTCCAGTACGTGTGATTGTACGTCGTTTTACCAAAGAAATGACTACCAGTACATCATCTTGAACATCATCTTGAAAGCTTGGAACTTGGACTGAGGTAGAATCTTACGAAGGTGGGATTGTATGTATCTACCGAGTACTCTATTTTCGGGATCACTGCATCACATCGTATAGTGGAGTCCTGTGAGATGCTGTAGCACGGGAAATGTTGCGGGATTGGTGTGATACTATGGTGGTACATATATATCGTATGTATCTAAACGCCGAGTTTAATTGCTGAAGATACTCGAGTGGCTAGAAAAAGTTGAAGGGTAAGAATACTTCGCGCGTACCTGCCTTCTGTTGCCCAATGCCTACCTAGTTGCCAACTCGCTTGAAAATTCTTTCTTGGAATTGTTAGGATATCGGGGATTTTGTTGCGAATTGTGGGAAAAAGCATTGGTAAGAGATGCTTGACATGATTTCATGATGATCTTTGTGTGAAGGAAGTATGAAAATAATACACACGGAGTGAAGATCATGGCTATCTATGCGGCCTGTCTTTGGAGTCTATTGTTATCACGCCGCGAAATAAACTTTTGCATCCAAGAAGAAATCCTCAAGGAAAAAAATAAAAAATGAAAGATGGGTGATACCCGTGATTGTCCAATGATCAATCCTCCTGTTGCTTCGATCGCTTATTCTCCGGGTTCCCCTTCGTCCATGATTCAAATTGGAAGAAGTCATCACGAGAAAAGGATTTCCCCTGAACAATGAGGTGGGATCTATAGTTCCGTCACAGTCATAACAGGCAATGCCTTGCTATAATTCAGATATATCTTGTGTAATCAAGTTTCAAGTTGATGATCAAACAGGCACCTCCATCTAGGCTTGATCTTGTCTCGTTCGAAAGATTCCACATACCTTGAAGGTAAACGAGAAACCTGTGAAGACCTTCTCTTTTCGATGGCGAGATGCTTCCATATGGTTGTGATAGAATTCGATCATGTGAGTTTCAGGTTTGCGATGGTTTACCTCATTACATTTTGACCCTTGAGGTACGGCGCCATACTGTAGGCAGATACGACAAGGTACATCCTGTGTGTGTCATTTTGTAGGTACTTCAATGATGGCTCGCATTTGATATGTGCGGATTGATTGGAAGAATTAGAGGGGTCCAGTTCAAAGCGCACGCTGCTATAAGGTTATGCATTAATGGCGGGGAGTTATGACATGGGAAAATCTAGCAAATGATGAACGAGGAGAAAAGCAACATCAGTCAGTGAAGGCTAAGATTGGATGTTCTCACCATCATCGAAAATATGGGAAGCTACGCCACTGGAGATGGATGAGAAATATCGGTCGCTCAAGTTGGCCGGCTCACCGACTTCCAAGTTGACCCAAGTGCTGTTGAGAATAGGAACATCAATCTACAAACGATGCGAGAGTCGGTAATCTCAATTCAATGTATATGTTCGGGGTCGCATGAGTTCACGGAGCTTTGTGATGAACATGTCAACCATACTATCACCGTCCGAAGAATCTGAAGCAAGGCCACGAAAGGATGTTTCCAAGTTCGAAGACGACAAGAAGAGAAAGATTGGCAGTCATTCACAAACCTCTCAACGGCTTCAAGGAGTCATTACAAAAAACAGTACCTGCATTTCCGAGGCCAACCGAGGTCTCCTCAGCTTCGTTTCACAATAACCTATTTTACCCCCCAATGGATACGACGGGCGCGGGATGACATACCAAGCATTTTTTCGTGACTCGCGGGTAGAATAATCCGTCGTTTTTTGGAGTGGAGGTCGCATCGTTAGCCTCAACCACATGGATGGTATTCGTCAACTGTAGTCTGCCAAATACTTCAATCCTTGGAAATTCACGGGTCTACAGACTGAGTAAGTTTGCCGTCCTAGCAACGATCACCCAACGATTTCAACGCTCAGATCGCGCGCTATCCACGCAAAGGCATTTGCTTTTTCTTTCTCGAAGCTGTCTATCTTCACGCTCGTCCATTGAGATGCGGATGAGATGATCGAAAGTACGATGCGCCGGTACTTCTTCTGACCCTTATGATGAGAGAAAGCCTAGGTCGGACATAGTCAGATTACAAGATAGTTAAGAATCCAATCACACCCCTCCTCATTCTCTTCTAGCCAAGAAATTTGCCTCTCTGTCAACTTGACGCATGAATCTTCTTAGGTCTTCTTCCAATGTACCAATGTACTGCACTAACTGGATCATCTGTGCTTGGATGTTGAAATTTCATAACGAATGTTTTTCGCCGCATTTATTGAACAACACTTCCGTCAACAACGCCCCTCATGATCCACTTCCTCCCCACGCATAAAGGTGATTTATGCCAAACATGGTCTTCCCAGTTCTTATCCAAGATCAAATATAGAAACACGCCGTCTTTAGCTTCCTCAATTGCAAGTTCCGAGTCCCCAAGCGGTCGCACTAGCTCATTTTGTGACGTTTCTCTGGAAATGCAATTCTAAATCTCGTTCCCAGTTCGAATATTACTTCGCTCTCCATGCCGATACGACCCTCCGTGCTTTATTAACTAATGGGCGAATGACTATTAGATCGTCATGTCAATGAAAGAGCATTCCTTTCTGTGAGGTTCGACCGAGAAAGTAATTTGCATAGGGAGGAACCACAGTTTTTACTCCCGATGCAAGAAGCATGGTCCAGACATGCAGATGGCAAGGTTACGCGGAGATTACATATCTAATGGGGTAAATGAAGCCGATGCAAGTGGTGGCATAAGATTTACGAGACAGCATAATTATGTGAGCCTAGCAAGGGATGAAGGAGAAGCAAGAAAGGAAGAAGCAGTTTCTTATCGAAAATGCAGGTCGCAAGTGACGTGGAGCAACTCCAAAGATATATGTTTCATATTCCATGAACCTAATGCTTTAAACTATCGTACCCAGGTTTGCAAATAATAATCGATTTTGCTTAACGTTGATCTAAAGTTCTAGAGTGAGCTTCGATCTGGATTGCTTGTAGGCCCACCCCAAAAACCTAGTGAATGTGGTTGTGGAAGACAACCTTGAAACACAAATTTCCTGCCTTCCTCAGATGATGCACGAGAAACAAAGCCACCACCTTGAAAACGGCACAGTTACATAGAGATTCCTAGGAGTTGTACACCTCCATCTTCACCAATTGATTATTGGGGTTACGCTGACAGCACATTCGGTTATGCTTCGCCTCCTTCCTATTCCCACCTCATTGCTACATCTCGGATCAATCGTCAATGACATGAAAGAAAATGGACCGGTAGGTTGTATACATACTCAGACCATACGTGAGATCAGATATCAGGAGAGAAAGCCACTCAATGGAGGAAAAAAGTGAGCACAAAACTAGAAACAAGCGCCAGGAGCAGATTGTGCCGCGTGCAGTCTTTTCTCAAACACGAGGCCTGAGGTGATAGCATACCATGAAAGTTAGACAGATGGATGGATGAATGAGTGAGAGAGAGGGAGAGAGCGAGGCTTTTGGGAATGATGGTAAGGGATGAGCCATAACTTTGTTGACAGAACCGTATGGATTTTGGAAAGAAAGTCAATCATTCCGTTGTTATTTTTCTTGGGCTTCACAGAGACAAGTATACCATGGGCGGGTAGAGAATTGCACGAAAGGATATAAATTTAGATGGAAGAATCAATTGGTTGAATCAGCAGCACAAGTCATGTTTTATTATCTGTCAGCTCCTCTGTACACTGTACTCACTGTATATCAAATTATCAACAACCAGTAGCAGCAGTCTTTCGACGGACCCGGTCTAATTCAACACCTAGGGATTTCTATTAATATTTGCTCTCTCAACGCTGTTTTAATATTGTTGCTCGGTATCAGAATTAATGATGTCCTAGCGGTCACTTTCTTGAGTCATTCATTCAAATGCATTTTGTATCGTCGTATGTACGTACCTAGGTCCCAAGGGAGGTACTTCTTGATGCTTTATCCTTTTGGATATGATCTATCGATTCGGAAATCATGCCTCCGCAATGTGTACCGGTATTTCTAGGACGATATCAATAGGTAAATTGTAATATCATAATTGAGGGACGTAATCCAACAGTTGAACCTCTCTTTCCATGAATATCAATAATATGACTGATTTAATTCTAAATCGAAGACATCTTCAAAGACCACTTTCTCCTTCGGTTACAGTATCAGTATCTATTGTCTCACTCGATGCAAAAAAAGTTAAAATCATGTCGACAGGGCAGCTCTTTCTTTGCTCTAGAAGGAGAATGGTTTCCATTTGACATCCACTTTTCCATACAAATCCACCGACCTGCCATTTCTCAATAGTAAGAGATCGAAAGTTCACGGAATCCTATTACCGACCCCCCAAAAGTAGAGGAGGCTAGAAGAAGGAATATCGGGAAATTATACGACACATACTACCAGTAGGTAGGTATGATTGCTGTACGCACAGTGCACACAGACGAGCATACACACGAACACACACCGACGAAAGGACTGAAAGCCATCTACAACGCACACACATTCACGTTCTCCTCCATCTCCGAGATTCTTTATTAGTGTCATCCTCAGGATTCTGTGCTGCTACCTCCTACCTACAGTATTCCATCCTTCGTTCTTCAATACCTCCCTAAACACTCTTGCGCTGCTCACTCACCTGCATATCGCATATCGCATACCGCACACCGCATACCGCATACAGAACCTATACGACCTTGATAAACTTCAACTACTTCTTTCCCCTGGGAGCTTGCTTCAGATCACGATAACAGCCAATCTGATCCCTCGAACCTTCCACAAACTACCTAGTAAGCACTCTCAGACCTATTAGCAATAAACCCTGTTCAACAACTGCGTGTTCAACGACTTTTACGAACACTACGACGACTTCTCAGCAGTAACGGGCGAGCACAAGAAGAAGCAAAAAGATTGTCTAGCATTCCTTCTCTCCCCCTCGAGTTTGAAGCTGGATCATCGACCCAAACGGTACTTCGTACATATCCTCTCGTCATCATCCGACGCATGAGGCACGAACTATACGATAGTACAGTAAATATTTCCACTCATTCAACCCGGGGTCATACTCTTTACCCATACTAGAACAAGCCGCTACCCAAGTTCCGGAGGTTATAACCTTTAAAAGAGCAAGTGAAAAAGACTGGAGCAGACATCTTTTTTGAGCACAAACCCAAGCACAACCCTTCCCCAATCACCAACCCCTTGACCATTTCTTACCACACTCCCCCGTAAGCAAGTCAGCACCAGAGCAAAGCGAGGATCAAGCAAAAAGCCAAAGCAGCGAGCGCGATTATAATCCTTGAAAACAGTCCCAAAAGCAAGTTAGAACGAAAGGGGGAGGGGGAGAAAGAGTCAAGACACGACACAGAGCGGACCATCCACTCATTCCACCAGCGTTCTTCCTTGGCTGCTACTCATACCCACCTGTTCTCTTACCCATTCCAATTGTGATTATTATTATTATTTTTTCTTATAATTATTCATTATTATTGTTATTATTATTATTATTATTATTATCATTATTATCATTATCATTATCATTATTATTATTTCATTCTCTTCTTCTTCTTGACCCTTACCCAGTTCTCCATACAGTGCAGCAGCGGGCACACCACTTTCACCTAACATCCACAATTCAAGATCCAAGGCCCCTACCACTTTTCGACCGCGCAGACCAGGTCCAAAAAAGGCTCATATTTGAGATTCTCAAACGACTCTTAACTCAAACATTCCATCTTAAACCCCCCCCCGTGCCTTCCTCATCTCAAACTCGAAAGAAAAATCTACGTCTCTCATTCTCGTCGCAGGTCGCCCGTACATCCAACAAGAAAACACATTCTACCCCTCAGCCGCAATCAATTTCTTCTATCGATCGTAGCTTTCACCCGAGGGTCTCTCTCTTCTTCATTTGCCGACCGAACGAAACGAAAAGAGTCGCGACGAAATAGATTAGATTTGTTTTTGAAAAGTGTTGTTGTCGCGGCACATTCTCCTACACCTTCTCGCTCCCCGAAGCTTCTGTCATTCACTTTCTTGAGTCGTCCGGTCGACCTTTAAACACATACACCCTTCTCTTAATTTTGCCAAACCGCGATTAGACAGTTTTGTCTCTTCTTCTCTTCTTCTTCCTCTTTTTAAATACTTTTGAAAAGGATTTCGAGTCAAGTTCTTGCTGGCCTCGAACCCCTCGAACGTCAACTGCTTCATCTGGCTTTATCTGTACCGGAGCAGGCCCTCCATTCGAACATCAACCCTATTATTTCACAGAACGTCTTTACGATACCGATACCAATTCAGTTCTCTGACACTCGCTTCGCTCTCCAACTTTTCGAAGATACCATTGCTTCAATAACGTCGCTGTACTTCAAACATTAATCAACACGTCCCATCTTTGGCTTATCGTGTTTCTCAGCCTTACGGCCTCGTCGGTGTTTTGATTCCCCACTCGATTTAGCTGAAATCTTCTCACTCACACTGTTCTTGAGTCGTTGTTTCGACTCAATTGAATGGCGCATATGATGTATTCGCAACATCATGCGACGATGGCTCCTCCACAGAAACCAGAGACCTTCATGCTGAGCAGTGAAGCCCAACAAAGTCTCCCTCAAGATGCTCAAGTAGCACTCCAACAAGTTGACAACTGTAAGTATCAAGTATCACTGTTCAGGTGAATCTTGCTA